GTCAAGAGGTTGAAATCAGCTGCAGGATTTAAAATGCAAACAAAATTTTGAAATAATTTGAAACACACAGAATACTAGCCAATTCAAGAAATACCGGTTGTAGGGGTTATTGCTAAAAAAAAAAAAAAAAAAACACACAAAAAAAAATACAAAAACTGCTCAAAAAACTAAACCAACGCATGACTTCTATTTCGGGCAGCAAGATAGAAAATCTTGTGATGAGGTTATTCGAGGTAAATATTGTGAAGACAAAATCCGCAAAAATCAGCTATTTAAGACTGTGATCCTAATGGATAAATACTAAATTAGCATGTAAAAAGCAAGTTCACAACAATCTGAATATATCAGACGGCAATTAAGCCACTCCAAAATCTCCTTTTTGATATGAATTTTGCACACACTTATATTGTGATAATATATCCTCGAGATTCTGTGGCGCCCTTCTGTGATTAATATGAAAATGAACATATTGCTGAGAGAACACATTTAATGAAGCTGCTGGCATGCAAAAATCAAAGCAACCACTACATCGAAAATGATACACAACTCCAAAAATGCAAAAAAAAAAAAAAAAAAAGTTTAATATAACTAGCTTATTTCCCTGCACAAGAATCTTTGAAATCATAGGAAAAAAACAATTTCCTATGATGATGAGTGGCTTGAAAGTCACTTTGGTCAACTGACAAAGGACAAGGCGACGCATATTTAATGTCGGACAGGACACAGTTTTTTCACTACCAGCTATCTGTTGGACTAACACTAAAAGATAAATAATACAAATTTTTTGAACTCACACCTTATGTGTCACTAAAAAACAATAGTTATCCTTTCCAGAAATAATTTTCTTTTTTCATTAGTTGGATTTAGTGTTATATATTATCTTTCACAATTAAATTTTTTTAGTTGCATATAGATCTAATGTAAAGGCGGTGAAGTAAATTATGACTGCCAGTATGAGAAATGCATTACATAAGATAATAATTTACTAAATAAGTCCATAAAGACTCGTGACCTGAAGCTGCCATCACTTTAAAAAACAAAACAACATGAGGTGTCTGATGGCTAAAAAGGACAGGCTGGTCACATTGTTAACACACATGCTTGACAAAACCCAACAGGGTAAACAAGTAATAGTCAGGGCAGTTACGGTTTAAAGACCTTCCTGGCTTCTGCTTAAAGAACCGCCCCAGGCTTTTCGGTGGTTATTCCTGTCCGATACGTCTACTCCTGTCCTCTGGTATCTGGAGGAACTGTCAGAAAGGGAGTTTCTCAGATAGCATGAAAACATTGTAAATCAGAAAAGTTCTGCTTGGGTGATATAATAGAACAAGATGTCAGAGGTGGTAAAGTAAATAATTAGTGCTTTAAAAAATAGCAGGAAAGTCCAGAAGTTTAATATAAGTAAGCTTATTGTGACGTGAAATATTTTCACGTCACGAAATGAATATTTCACATATTTCACTCTAATAAGGTGAGCACCCTTATTAGAAATCAGAAGAGATGACGCATCATTAGTAAAGAAATGAACAAAAAAAAAAACACCCATCTTCATGCTTGGTATGATACCAAGATAACAGGATGGTAGTTTGTAGAAAGAGAACTTTTTTTTTTAAATCAGCGACATTTTAACATAATCTGAAACTGCCTAAACTAAACTGTGCCATGTAATATAAAGAGGTATAATGAAATACCATGATGAAGGAGAAGGAAGAGAGTAGTTACACATTTATCAACTATAGTGAATAAGGAGTAAGATACACATGCCTTAATTAAGATTACATAACAGCAGGATCCAAATATATATTACATTTCAGAGAATAACATTTCGGGTATTCATACTCCTTGAATGCTTTTCACACTTTTCCTACATACAATCAGACACCAGGGTGTTTTCTTAATGTGACAGATGAAAACAAAGTAGCACAAAATTGTGAAGTGGAAGGAAAATGATACAATGTTTTCAATATATTTTACAACTAAAAAGTGTAGCCAGCATCTCCATTCGATCCACCTGAGTCAATGATTTATAGATCCACCCATCATGGCAATTACAGCTGCCAAGTTCTTCTGGCAGATGTCTTTACCAGCTTTGGACATGAAAACGCAGAACTTTTTGTCCATTCCAATTTGCTACAAAAAAAAAAACTCAACCTTACTCAGACTGGATGGGAACATCAATTTACAAGTCTTGCCACAAAACCTTAGGCAGATTTAGTTCTGTACTTTGACAGGGCCACAAAGTGCCAAGGTCTAAACCAGACTTGCCCACTTTATGGATCCTGGTCACCATCCGGCCCTTTAGATTTTTCATTGCCTGGTGTTAAGATTTTTAAGTGGAAATTAGAAAGACAGGAATTGCTGAATCTAAAAGCAAACATAAAGAGACACCATGCAAATTGCAACAGTTATTCATGTTAAATAAAGACAATGATTCAGTTGTCAAAATGGAGGGACACATTTTATCAATGAGTTAAAGTTTTTACTGCAAGGATGTCAAAGTGATGTTAGTAGTTTATCAAATATACCCTTCGAAAAAAGACAATAGTTTGGTCTTCTACCATAGTAACAGATATGTCATTGAATCAAAATAATAAGAATAAATTGTATTTATAATGCCCTTTATATCAATAGATCTCAAAGGGCAATAATCACCCAATTCTTGTTCACTTATAGCTCTGATTCTACGTTGAGAGTCGCTGTCAGTCTGGTCACCAGCTTTCATCAGCTGCCTTGTTTGGCTAAAGAAAAGCATCCCACAGCATTATGCTGCCACCCCAATGCTTTAAAGTGGGAATAATGTATTTATTGCTATTTGTAATTCCATTTTCTTCTTCATCTAATCAGATAACATTCTTCCACAAGTTTGTCACAAAGTGTATCAACATTCTGCTTTTAATTTTGTATTTATACAAAGGTTAAACACAGGTTGACAACTTCCCAATTGAGTGAAGGCAATTGGTTTATATTTAGGGGAATCAGCGTAAAAGGGGAAATACAAATACCTGCCACGGTTTTCATTTTTTGTAAAGTATAAAAAAAATTAAAAGCATCTGTTTACTTTCACTTCACACCCTACTTTTTGCTCCCCTGTCCCATGAAATATATTGAATATTATGAATGTAACATTCATAATAAGACGTCCAAAGGGTGCTAATATTTTCCCGGCCACCGTTTAAGCCAGATAATCGCAACAGCGAGAAAAATAACCATGGAAATAAATGCGGAAAATAATACATATTAGTCAACAATAGAAAACATATCTGTAAGTTAAAGTTTTAATCAAGATGAATAACAGAGCATCAGAAGTCATGCCTGTCTAGTTACATCACTCTCAGGGGAGTTACTCCCCCCCATCTTTCTTTTTTTATAAGAGGCACCCCTCCTCAGGCAACTCCAAGGCGCATCATAAAATGCAAAGCGACACATGTCCTCTTTCACCAGCCAAGGGTGCCAACTGTCTGCCTGATCTAAATAGAGGACACTTGCTCAGAAGAGAAAGTGATAAGCAGACTGCTGATCATCTCACAAAAAAAAGAAAAAAAAAAGAGCAAAAACATAACTAAAAGTCAGGATTGCAAAACCGACATGACCTCTCGAAGAACAGGCAGGGACCTTTGGTCAGGAGCTAAGTAGATATAAGATGACTGCTTAAAGCAACCTAAAAAAACACAACTAAGAAACTCACTATAATAGAATAACAATAATGGCGTAAATTAAAAGACATGCCACTACTGATATAATACTTCCGATTTATTTATCTATTTATTTTTTACCTCAACAGGCACTGAACGGTGCAGTAACCAAAAGACCATGTCGACTTGGCATCAGGTCTCGAATTTGTATCATGCCACACAAACCTTGCTTTTCTAGTAAAAAACAAAAGTGGGAATTTAGATGTCTCGCTACAAACACCTACCAAGCGTGGGTGATTGCCACTAAGCTGTCGTGGACGGACAGACACACAACGGCCAAGGCACAATCGTCCACCATTACGCCTCCATAAAGTCTCTTCACGCTTCAGCTAATCTGACAAAGTTATGAGATCAATGGTTCCTGGAAGCGCAAGAGAAAGCATCTACAACCAGGAGAAACCGCAGACTTATAAATGCCCGCTGTAACAAAACAATAGTAATACTGTTTGAAAACTTAAGAGACGCTACTTAAGCCTCGGAAGAGCGGATGCCTGTGTTGAACTAACCCATCAACAACAACAAGCTATCGGATGCTAACGTTAACTTGGCTTCCCAACAACAACCTGTCCATCTGTCCGGCTACAAAACCGGAGGCTACATAAATCCATCCACCAGCCCACAATGGTCCGCGGCGGTTAGTTGTGATACCGGGTGTAAAACCAGGAGCTTGTGCCCCTTTAAGAAGTGATAATACATATCATACATTTTAGACTGGGTGTTTCTACACCTCCAAATAGCGATACACGAAAGAGACAATGAAACCGACCCCGTTTCGGAGAGCAACGGGGTAGTACAAGACGAGCTAACATGCAAGCTAAGTTAGCCTGCTAACGCTAATTCTCTGGTCTGCACAAACAGTCCCTGGATGTGTTCACGAATAATTGAGCGTTAATTACACAGAGAAATGTCATTTTTAGCCAAATCGTTGTTGGCTACAAATTAGCAAATGCAGTAATTAACTTTCATTATGTACGAATGCCGGTGCAGGATGAAACAAGTTTGATGGAAAAAGTTTGTTTTATTTTGCTCCACTTTTAAGGCTTTGCTCCTGGCAGTCCGTCCTCGGTAGGTGTGTGTGAGCGTGTGCTGCGTATGTGTGTGCGTGTATGCGTGTGTGTGCGTGGAGCCCAACGACACACAAACTGTTACCTTGCACGTTAGCGGAGATCGAGCTATGCTAGCTAGCTTAACTTGCGTTAGCCGAGCTAACACCGACAGAAAAAAACTTCCGTCCCCGTCACGTTTTAATTGGAAATTATGATCTCGGATAAGGTCACAGGACAACGAAATAAAGTTTCACGAACTTACGGAGTATATAGGAGGAGCCGGGTCGAGTTCCCCCGCGGTTTTCACTTGTTTTGGCGTCAGTATTTAGCTGGCTTTGGCGTAAAAAAATCCCGGGGATCCCCTCTCTTCTGTCCGCTGCCACTCCGGTTGCCAGATAATGTAATGAGCCACCACAGGCGGCGTCATGCTGCGTTCATACACACCTCGGAAATGATAAGTGCTGCCGATGGAAGGAAAAAAGATATGTTCTGCAACGACTTCACGGAAGTGATTGAGGAGCAGGACTAATGCATTTTTTGTGTGAATGTTTTGACTTTGGAGTTTGATACATTGTGCTCTTGTCCACTTTTAATGTGCATCTTCTATGCATAAATAAGACAGCTTCAGCTGTTAGTAATTAATTTACAGTTTTGACACAGGATCAGGACAACAGGTAGCCTATTTAATGTTTCGCCTCTTCATTGTATAAAAAAGTATATATTTTTAACTTGAATCATGCACTGTCTTTGCAAGAGCTCATTCAATAAAGCTTATGGGGATTTTTAATGAATATATTCATTGATTTAGAAATGTCTGGATGAGAGAAAGCTGCACAAGCCATGTGCAGTTTAAGAAGTTTGTCAGGGTTCTGCTGTGACATAAAGTAGATAATGCAGTCAGGCATCAGTTTCACTCTTTTGTTAATTTCATCTAAAAAAAAAAAGGGTCTGAAAGTGCATATGCATTTGAATTGTACCTTCACAAGATCCGGTTTTATGGAAAAGCACACAACCTTTTGACATGTTGAAATCATAGAGATGTCTATTTGAATTATTTTAACGCACAGCAGTGCAGGGGATAATTGAGTGGACAGAACACGGCACGTGGTTTCCAGTTGTTTATATAAAGAACTGAAAAGTATTGTCATGCATTTGTTGCCAGCCCCCCTCTCCAACTCAGTGCTTTGCAATTAAAGCTGCAGGTCTTTTAGGGGGGCATGTGCACCAGCTCTACACATGTGAAAGATGATGTTTTCAGAATGTTTTTATTTTTTTTTCCTTCACTGGAAACTGTTCATTGTCAGAGTTATGGTTAAAAACGCAATTTTCAAGTTGCCACGCGTTCTCAAGAATACTTAGCTCTCCTCTTTGACTTGGTAATTCAAAACTCATGAATATGCTTTCCATTGTAGCTCAGGCCAAACATTTTATGTCTCATGTTCTCCAGAAGCCTGAATTGGCTTCTCGATCCATAGAGCTACTTTTCCACTATAACATACTAAACCTGTCTCTAGTTGTTTTTTTTTCCAGGTACAAGTACTTGGTAGTAGATTCTTTATTAGCCTCTACTTAGCGAGCTGAAGCTGTGACTTCAAAAGGTGACTGGCTTGAGCAGTGGTGTCCAAAGTCAATCTTCAAGGGTTGGTAAATGTTTTAGTTCATTTTCTTATTCAACACGCCTGGATTTAATGATGGATCGCCAGCAGTCCTGTGTAAAACTTTATAATATTATGAGGAGGCAGTTGGTCTATTTACGTCAGTTTTGTTGACGCAGAGACAAACTGGCGGGACACTGGTTACTGAGGAGCTGAAAACAATTGGCCATTATGCGAGAATATTTATTGCACAACAATAAAAAAATGAGCCTTGTTTCTTATCTTTTTATTTTACTTGCAATAGTAATTGGGCATTTTCCAGCCAGATAATGCCATTTTATAAAATAATGAAGAAATTATGTCACTTTCAGTTGTTATAGAAATGCTGTAAATATCAAACATGACAAAGAAAATGACTTCATAATTTGACGCCTTGAAATTTCGCATCCGTCTCTTTAAGAAGCTTCATTTCCGACACTTTGCCTTTAGCATATCGTCACAACAACGCTTCTCATTACGTTGTTTACAACCACTCTCAGAAGAATCATACTGCGAAGTAGAATGCACAGGAAGCTCAGCAGACTCGCAGTTACATCAGGTGTTTGCTAATTGTTGCTGCTAGTCTAGAGGAGATGAGTGTTAAGGCACAGGGGAGGGCTGATCTGTGAGGAGTGGATATATGAAAGCAGGAGTTCAGACATCCCAAATAGCTGCCATGGGATACTAACATGCATGAACAAATCAAACCAAACATTTTAGGTATGTTTTTGATGAGAGAAAATAAAAAAAGTGATTTTTTTCACAGTACTTGTCTTCAAGGAGCTTTGCAGCAACCCCCCCCTAAAGATGGAGATTTTAGTTTTGGTCTTATCTGACCAGCGCACCGTCTTCCATGGAAATTGTTTTGGGTTTCTTCTTGCAAAGAGCTCATAAAAGTCGTATGTGTGAAAGTGGATGTCTGATGGTTGTTCTGGTGACAAAACCGAAGCCGTAGATCTCGGAAGCTCTTGCAGGTAAAACTAAACTGCCCCAGACTGTCACTTCGGGTCGGCAGCTACGTCTCGGTGAAACTGCAGCTGTGGCTTACTTGTTCCATTTTCGATGATAGACTGAACAACGTTCTGTGAGCTATTCAGACTTGGCTCATTGTTTTCTAGCTCAGTCCTACTTGTTATTTCAGCGACTCTGTCCTTGACCAGTCTGGTCTGCTCTTTCGTCAAGCAGTTCACAAAATCAAAACAATTTCAGCAAATCGACGTTCTGACCTGCTCTTTCAGTGCGTACTGAAAGTATTACACATTACTGGAATGACCATTCAAATGACTGAATTTGCTGCCTCAATCAAATGCTTCGCATGTCCTATCAATATGCTTGACTGAGCACATCTTTGATGCATACAGACTTCTTTGATAAGGAAGTAGGCACAAATCACAAAAAAAAAGACATCGGATTAGAGACATCAGTCAATAAACTGACAGATTTCAATCATATTTTTATTGGAAAAAATATTGAAAACAATGTAAGAATTAAAAACAGAGGCATTGGATAAAATATGGCTAGTACTGAAGCTTAAACTGTGTGTCCACCTCTTACAGTGCTTTAAATACCAAGCATTGAGATACCTACATAGGGTAGCTAAAATAATACATATCACACTTTACTAAATTGAATTTATAAAATGTCACTGTACAATAAAAGGTTCAACAAGTGGCAAATTTATACAAACATACTGTGAAAAGCTCATTTAGTAGGACTATCAAGACAAATTAGAACAATAAAATAAATCTTTTTTCCCAATGTTTGGAAAAAAAAAAAAAAGCTGATGTGTGGAAAGAAAAAAAACATGAACGAGAAATACTCTATAATGGAACTTTAACAAATGCATGAGAGAAATGTGTATTGTTTTAAGGATATTAGTGATAATATGATAAATTCTACTAGTATTTAAAATGCATCCCCTAAACAGCGGATTGTGCCTCAAAACAACATATGCTGATATTTTTTATTTTTTTTCCTTTCTTTACACAGACTTTTCAAATGAATATATTGTAAAAATAAGTTACAGGTCTATATTACCTACAGTGGATTTTGTGCAAAAAAAAAAAAAAAAAAAAAAAAAAAAAAAAAAACCCAGAAAAAAACTAAATAAAAACAACAAAATCATAAAAAATTTACGGTTCGTGCCCCAGCTGAAAAACTATAGTGCAGGGAGTTCGCATTAGTAACTTCCACGCATGGGAGAGAAAAAACAGCTTTCATACAAAAAAGGCAAGATGTAAAATATTTATCAACAGTTACAAAAATAGCAACATGAATAAATTAATTTCTTCTACATATTTTTACTGCCCATATCTAACTGGATCTTTTCCAAGAAATGGAAATAGAAGATAATCCTGGCAAACTCAAAATCCCTACATCTGAGGCAATGAAGCCCTTTTATACATTGCCATGTGTCCTTCCACCCAAAACCAACAGCCATACCCGGATCTTGTGCCCCAAGTCCATGCCGCCAGAGTGTTATTGTTTGATAACTTCAGGAAAAATTAGTAGCAGATAATCAGGAAGTAATCTTCAGAAGCAAATAAGGTGAACGTCCAACCTGTCACTTATTAAAATCCTTTTTTTAAGCTACAGTGGTGTGGATAGCAGGTTTTTTAGGCATCAAATTGCTGCTTGTGGTAATTTACCAGCTACAATCATGCATCGGGACGCTCCTCATAGCAGGCTTGCGAGGCTCGTGGTTGGACCATTCTGGGCTTGGATCTGAACGGGAGGGGGGCCGTCCGTCCACTGGAAAACAAACATATTGTGCAACTGCAGCATTATGACGTGAATCGAAAACAAAAGATGTGCTAAAGTAAAAGTGCAGATCTCATGAAAGGGAAAAACATTGTGAGGAAGATTATGACGTCCTCAAATCTGCTTTACGTACGCTGATGAGGTTATGCTCCGGGAGGCTGCAGGCCGCAATGTGGTCCTGCAGCAGCTGCTGGGAGAAATTCTGGTGCATCTGTGCAGCCTCGTGGGCATCGATGTTGTTTCCAAGGGCCTTGTTCAAGTCTGCAAGAGTAACAGTGGGGTTTCAGTCTTTCATTCTGAAGCACCAATCCACGACGCGCATCCCCGCTGGGAATGTGCGAGGCTCGCGCTCGTCTCTCTGGAAAGCAAACAATGAAAAGTGAAGTACGGACCTTTTAACAGCGCCGAAGACCAGAGCTGCACAGACATGTCAGGGATTTTGCTGGCTAGCTGCATGGCAGGTACAACCATGTTGTTGCTTTCCTAAAGGGAAGAATGACATGTGTAAATATATAAAACATTTTAATTGATTTACTAATAATAATAACAATCACATATTGAACAAAAATACCAATGCTCTTGAATTTACATCGTTTCCAGAGTTAAATGTCTGCTGCTACAATCACAATTGGGAAAAGAGCTTGTAATCATGTTTAGTGAGAAGATTCCTACAAATACTGAATCATTTATTAGATATATTAATATATTCATATTGTGTCCAAACCTTCAAGCAATTAAAATTTAATAGCCAGGAAAACATTATGTTTAAAAGGGGGAGGGGTCTCTTTTAAGGATCATTTGATAACTGACCGCTACCACCAGAGGTTTTTTCTTCTTCTTCTGTTTGTTTGTTTGTTGTTGTTTTTTTGTTTTTTGTACCAGTTTTAGTAATTTGGGTCAGCTGGAACTTAATCCCAATTTATCGCTTCCCTACCGCCAAATGAGAGCTTTTTTTTTTTTTTTTTTTTAAACCAACATGAACTGAACTTCAGACC